ATAAACCAAGGAGTGGGATAACTGGGTCAAATGGAGTCTTGTTAAAGCAGTCAGTTCCTAAGCCAACATGGTGAAGATTTGGGCCTACTGTTTCTTCTATTGGGTGCAGGGTCTCTGTTCTAGTGCCTAAGTCTTTGATCCACTATGAGTTTTGTGCATAGTGAGAGATAGGGGTTTAATTTCATTTTGTTACTTATGGATTTCCAGTTTTCCCAGCACCATTTGTTAAGAGCTATCTTTTCTCCAATGAATGTTTTTGATGATTTTTTTCTAGTATGAAATAACTGTATTTACATGGGATTGTCTTTGTGTCCTCTATTCTGTACCATTGGTCTACATGTCTATTTGGTATCAGTCATGCTGGAGAAACTGATTTTTTAAAACATGATCATTGAAAATAGAATAAGACACATTATATCCTGTCTCTTGTGGACTGAGAGGAAACATATTTTGCAGCATATTTTGAAGTCAATTCAGGGTGTAAAGAGTTTCAAGTGACAATATTCAGTTTTAACCTTATTCTTGGATATGCTTTATCCCTGCTGTTGTTTTCTTTTTTAACCCTGAGTTCTCACTAACCTATGAATCATTGATGCCAGTGTTGAGAATCATGGCTCAAATCCTGTACTCCCAGCACTAAAGATTGAACACCCGATAACTGACAAGGCAAGCACAAAAGGTTTTATTTAAAGGATGGGGTGGGGAGGAGAACCTCTGCAGAGGAGAGAGTCCAAGTTGGTGCCCAGGGGAGTAGGAGTGTCTTGCCCCTTTTATAGATATTAGATTTCTTTTTGTTCTCATGCCCTCTATTCCCATCCAACCTATTTGACCCAAAAGGTGGAGTGATCCAAGGGCAGGAACAAAGCCACCCAGGTGTAGGTGCAAGAAGGGAGCTACCCCGGGGCTACTCATTAACAACTCCTTGCAGAGAGAAACAATTCCTTAGAGGCAGGTAACCTTGGCAACAGGTTAGAGGAGGGGAAAGTGCTCTGGAGGTATTAGCATTTTATTTCCTTTGAATTCGTCCCTGTCTTCCTGACCCAGTCATTTACTACCTACACTGACTCTCCTTCTGTCCCCCATCATTGAAATATTGTCTCACAAATGTGGACAATATCATATAAAACTACCCATGAAACAGCAACAGCCTACACCTTCTGACTTTTATGGAGTGCTGTGCTATGCCCTGTGCTGGAAGCTACAGTTTGAAGATAAAAACAATAGAGTTTCAGCTTCTTTGGACTTGGTGTAGAGGAGAAACAAATGCAAACACTGAACTTCATTATAAAATGTGCTATGACAGGTGTACTTATAAATATGCCCATGGCAATCAAGGAGCTTTAGGAGGATTACATAACAGAATCTATGGGGATGGAACTCAGGAAAGCCTTGTTCTAGGTGAAAGAGTCAGAGAATGAAAGAGCTGGCTAGGTATGGGATGATGGCAGACAGGCTATCCCTGGCAGCTGGAACAATATCAGCACTGGAAGAGAAGCAGGCCACAGCATGGTGCAGGGCCTTTGATGTCACTGGGGAACACTGGATTTGTGGTTCTGAGTGTTAGATGATAAAGTTGGATGGAGCAAGTGGCAGGTGCCCACTTCCACAGAGATCAGTCAATTTACAACATTGTGATGATAAAAAGATGAACAGGGACATCTCAAAATCTAGTGAATACTGACAACATTAGACTACTTTAACATTATTATTTTTCAAGATTATTGGATTTCTGAAAAATATACTCATAGGAAACTCTGAAAGAAAAATATTCATTGACATACATATTTTATTATAAAACATAAATAATCTCTTCCTTAGTTCCTTAATCTGGGAATCAATTGCTCGACCCACAGTGGGTACATCATTAATACACCAAAGAAGTCATTCTGAATATGCAGGTCCAGGCTAATCAAACCTTGGAAGTCCTTTAAAGACTTTCAAAAAGATTCCAAAATGTCAAAGCAAATGTGTGTTCTTCTAAATGTATCTAGTGACCTCTGCTGGAATATTTATTTATCAAGGAAACCAAATACAAGTTGTCTTCTTTTCTTTTCTTTCTGTTTTTCCTCCTAATTTGCCCTCTTGCCTCTTCCCATTGAAAGATAAGATTTTAGTGTGGGAGTGAAATTAGGAATCAGGGTCTTTTGAGCACCTTTTTCCTACCTTAGAGAAGTCCTGTCTCCCTTTCTGCCTCAACAGCTCTTATCTTTCTGCTGCCAACTCATTTATTTGTGCTTTTAGCATAAACCTTATAGGACAGTATTCAGGGATTTGGGAAGCAGAGAACTTTGTCTGATCCTCCTCCAAATCTGCAGAAATGACTGCCTTTCTCTGCAAATACATATGAAAGAAGGCACTTTATCCAGCGAGCAAGGATAGATGAAAACATGGACATATTTCTTTTAGTTCTATTTATTTCACTTCTCTTGACTCCAGGAGCAATTTTTAAAATAGCATTTGCCACTAAAAAGCAAAGAATTGGTGAAGAGTGACCTCATGTTGAGAATAACAAAGTTAAAAAAAAGTACAGAAGCCTGATGGGAGGTGTCATTAGGAGATGATATGTTGCTGAAAATACTGGTACTTGATATTAAAAATAAGTCAAATGGGAACTAAGGACAAGGAATTTCAAAACATCACAATAACAAGAGTAGAATTGTACAAAACCTTATGATATGATTAAATTTGAAAACCGTTTTGATTTATCCCGTGCATGGTGTGCATATCTGTAATTCACGATTATTACAGAAAATTTGTAAAACACAAATAAACCAAAAAGACCACATAAATACTGGTCATAACCACTATCACTTACAGACAATAACTGTAAGAGTTTTGGCATGTATCCTCCCAATTTTTTGTTCGTGTCTATTTTAGTCTTCTCTTCATATATACTTCAGGATTACACACACACACACACACACACACACGTTATTACAACATTGATTCAGACATACTACTTATGTTATCTTGTATCTTAGTTATTTTCATTTACCACATTATAAAATAGATTTATTAATCTAAGGTCATTTTCTTCCAAAGTGTTTAATATAATAAAGTACCAAAAAGGTAACAAACATGTAGAGTACAATATAAAAAAATTAAGAAAATTAGCCTCCCATTCCTCTCCATTGGTAACCAATGCCCTTTGGGGAAGGTTTTAATAGGCCACCATATGTTATAAAAATAAGGCTGAGCATTACTAAAGTGTTTGGCATAGTGCCAGGCACTAAATTAATTCTCTTATGTAAATTATCTCATCCTCATTATAATAAGTAAACTAAAGCTTATATAAACATCTGCTCAAGGTTACATATCTGATAAGTGGCTGAATGGACGGTTCCAGACCAAGCACTTGCCACCTAGAACATACTGTAAATGAATAAATCACTCTTTTGGTATATGTTGAATAATGTGAATCAGCTCTCCTGTGGCTTGTTCAATCCTGGAAAAACCAATCTCAAGGTTGTTGAGAGGAAGCACTGCAAACGCAAAGCTCTATCATGTCCCTGTCATCCCATCTCATTCCTCATCAACATGTCCTTCTGTTGGGCTTTATTGGAATTTGTGTTTGCAGAACACTCATAAGTTAAGTCAACACGAACAAATAAATCATTATGTAAAAAAGTCTTTTCAACAACATAGCCTCATATCTCTATTATTTTAGTACTTGATTTTTTGATTAGCCATGTAGCCTTTTTTTTCCACAATTCAAACAAATGGATAATAAACTGTGTATGTATATTTACATTTGTAGACAAAGATAATCAAATATGTTGCTGAATCATGGAAGACATGTTTATTTTTCTTGATTTACATAAGTTATTAATATCACATAATAAAATATGATTTTACCTATCTTGAGTCATTAAAACAGGCTTAAGTCAATTAGGCCAACTACATGGAGTGAGACTACAGACTCAATAAATGTTTCTAAAATAGTATTATAATAAGGAACAAATTATGCTTTGACAATGTACTTATAATTCTAACCTGAACATTATTTTGTATGAGCTTCAATTCTGCTACTACATGGTATAATGTAAAAATACAGACTGCCAGGTAAATCTGTAAAGCAAGATGGTTCAAATTAAAACATGCTGTGAATGTCCTTACTTTAGAAACAAAATTGTGTGTGTGTGTGTGTGTGTGTGTATTGATACAAATACACATACAAACACACGAGAAAGCAAATATATGACATTTATTGGCAATGTTATCCTAATGATATTTCTATTGTAACTTTTTTCCTATATTTGAACATATTCCCATCCACATCCATTAAATTATTATTATTAATAATATTTATTTATTTTGTCATTGAGGATGGAACTCAGGTGTGCTCAGCCATTGAGCTACATCTCTAGCCCTTTGTATTTTTTATTTTGAGACAGAGTCTTGCTAAGTCGCAGAGACTGTCTTCAAACTTGTGTTCTTCCTGCCTCAACCTCCCAAGGTACTAAGATCATAGGTGTGTGAAACCACACTGGGATCATTGCATCATTCTTTATCAATTTGATCATATTTGTAAATATACAGTGTTAATTTCTACTACCTTATTTAAATGTGGACTGATAATCACTGACCAGTCAAAAATACATTTATTATATGCTATACCTAAAGACACATTGAGATTTATACTTTTGATATGGGGGGGGGGAATTTAAGTTATTAAGAAAGAGATAAACAAGAGCTATGCTTATCATCAAAATTAAGTTTGTACGTGTAGAAGGAAATAACCAGAAATAAATTTTTTTAAAGCTCTAGAAAAAAGTGTTAAAAAAAGAAAGAATAGAGCCAGGCGCTGTATGCACACCTGTAATCCCAGCGGCTTGGGAGGCTAAGGCAGGAGGATCTCAAATTTAAAGCCAGCCTCAGCAAAGGTGAGTTGCTAAGCAACTCAGTGAGACCCTCTCTCTAAACAAAATAGGGTTGGAGATGTGCCTCTGTTGTTGAGTGCTCTTGACTTCAATCCCTGGTACCCGCTCCACCTTAAAAAACAAGAAAGAAACAAAGAATAGAAAGCTAAAAGAATTTAAAACTGGAAACATATCTCAACCAGTTCTATATGTAGTCTGCAAACTTTATGAGGGAAATTGCTTTGCTAATATTGGGTTGCTCTGGAAATGATGAAACAAGCCCTGGAGACAGTGTGAGTCTAGCTTGGTCAAAAGGACAAGGGCTAAAGGGCTGGATTTGTATCACGCTCAATCTGTCCCAGGAGGAGCCTGCTCAAGCCCTGAACAGCAGGATTTTACTCGAGATTGCTCTGGGTCATTTAGGTAGATAGTAGTAAGGGATAGTGTCCTCATTGGACAAAAAGATAAACCCTCCTTCAATTGGGAGTTCTCTGGGAAGCACTGGAGATTTTGTTCTACTGGTTTACTTCTTTGAGTATCTACTAGAGCTTGATACCTACCGGCTCTAAACTTCTGTGTTTCTAAGTGCACCTAGCAGGAATTGCAATTAATTGAAACAGGGAATCCATCAAGGGTTTTAGAAGACTGGAAGAAGAATGCTTCGAGGCCGATCATTATCTGTGACATCCCTAAGTGGGCTTCCTCAGTGGGAAGCTGAAAAACTTCCTGTGGAGGATTTACTGCTCTTTGAAGTTTCTTGGGAGGTGACCAATAAAGGTTGGTGCTGCTCCTGATGTAACTATTTCTCAGGTTGTTGAAGAATATAGATTCGGATTTCATAGGTGATGCTTCAGTGATAATGCATGAGCAAGGGTGACATTTGATCTAATCTATTTCAACAGGCAGTGACAACTTAAGACCCGTGTATGTGTTGACGAGGGAGTAAGTGAAAAAATTAGTCATTGTCAGAAAATGTGAATTCAAATAATTATTTTAAATCCATGTTACAATAAAATAAGAATGAAAAGTTTATTTTTTGTTGTTTTATGATTTTTTTTCATCCACAAAATCTTCATAAGTACTTTAAGTACTTTTAAGTCCTTTATTTTGGCAAGTACCATATGAAGAAACTTTAACTCCATAGCAGTTGTATGAAACATTTCATAGCATTTCTAATAATTCAAGATTAGTTTTGAATTAAAGTTTTAATGTAAAAGCTGATCAGAAGACAAAATGCTGTACTGCTACTCAAAAAACTGAAAGTATTTTTCTTCAATGCTATGCATACACAGAAATTATAAAATAAGAAAGAAAGTCAAATTGATCAAATAATTTCCTAATAAGATATAACCTGATTATGCTGGGTTAGAGGAGGCAACTTAAATGGGTTTTAATAACAGAGGTACCTGTACAATTATCAAAGAACAATTCTTATAGATTGATAGACTCTAGTTTAAAAGTGTTATGAAGGAAAAAACATTATCTAACTGAGAAAAGATAATGGTTTTGAAGGCTGCATCCTTTAATATTATGAAGGAACAGGTCCAGAGATTGATGGGTAAATAGCAGTGACAAGCTGTATAATTTGAAGAAGCTGAAATGAAAACATAAATGTGATGCATGACTTTTCTGCTTTTTGACTAGTTAGAGCCAGAATAATCCCAAATCACAATTACACTTGGCTTCTGTTCGGATTTTGATCTTATGCCAACTGTTGAAAAATTGCATTTGTAAAATTCCTTAAATCGAAATTATCAATTAATTCTGCCTATGCAAAAGGGCAAAGAATTCAGGTGAGAGAACAAAGTCCAGTCTTCCTGGCTGCATTGAGAAGGAGCAAGGAGAAAAGGGACTTTATTGTAGAGAAGTATTTTACAAGTAGATCTTTCCAATGTTCTTTTTCCTGTCACATTTTTTTTTCTGCCCAGTTTTTATTTTATTTTATTTTTATGGTGAGCAAACAAGTTTTATTTTGCAAAATATTATGTAATATGAACTCCACTGCAAAAGAAGGGAATAAATTAATTTTAATTATGTAATCCAGAGGAAAAAGAACAGGTCGAATGAAGGTCCTGGATCTAATGGATCTCTCTATAGGGACAAGAAGAGACAAAAATATATCATCCAATATCAGCTAAAAGAAAACAGAAACCACATGAAAACTATTCCTTTTTGCCTAGTTTTAAAATATGGCCAAGGTTTCTGGCATAGAGCCACCACCACAATACATGAATCCCAGGGCGTACCTTGAAATGAAGATTTCCTCAATGGAGTAGGCAAGAGCCCAAGGACAGAGCTCCTTGGTGGAAAAAATTGGGGTGAGTGGTTCTTAGCAAACAGAGTCAGCCCAGACGACTGCAGCCCAGTGGCCGCACTTTAGCAAGCCCCCTTTCTTTCCTTCTTTGCTCTCCATTTATCAAACATTAACGGAACTAATGAAAACTTATCCCCTGGGTCTTAAATCCCAATCATGTGCATGCTGATTTCTGTCTTGATATTTTTAATATCTTACTCAGCCTGATTTTGTCAAAAATTTTAATAGAGACATACAATGATTCCATTCATCCCTGACAATATAAATTTGCTTTGAACTTGACTTTCCTGCAGTTCATTGCCACAGTTTGAGGCATCTTGGAGATTTTAAATCCAACCCCCCTATTTAATACACAAAATAGATAAATAGAGGCACTAAATGAACAAGCAAACGGGAGACAGAGGACTAAGATGTAGGTCTCTTCCCAGTCTGATTCCCCTTTTTACTGCCACTTAAGAATTAAATATTGAGACCTCTACTGTCTAAGGATATGTCCTATAGATGAAAAAGCTCTGTCTTGCAGCTAAATGTTAGAGACCTCTGAATAATTAAAAAACCCCTCTTGAACTATCTCAGTATCAGATTATTCGTGAATAAAATGAAAATAATATGTTCGAGTCATCTTACAATGTTCTATGGCAAACAAGGAAGTTTATTCATAACAAAGAAAAAAAAGGGTTTTTTAAAGAGGAACAAAATTTCTCACTACCAGGACTTTGCCAGTGAGTTATGGAAATGTTTAAAGTATAACTAACAAAGGAGTCACAATTAAACTATTGGTTGTTAATAATAACATCCAAATAACCTTTCAGTGGTACATATTAACCTTAAATTTCTTGCTTTTATTAATTTATCCATTTTTTGTTATTATCCATCTATTATTCAAAAAAGATTTATCAAGTATCTGTTAGGTGTCAGGCACTAAAAGACTAGAGAGACAGAATTTAACAAAATAGAATTGAGCTGGGCAGGGTGGCACACACCCATAATCCCAGCAGCTTGGGAGGCTGAGGCAAAAGGATCTCGAGTTCAAAGCCAGCCTCAGCAAAAGCAAGGTGCTAAGCAATTCTATGAGACCCTGTCTCTAAATAAAATAAAAAATAGGGTTTTGGAATGTGGCTCCATGGTTGAATGCCCTTGAGTTCAATCTCTGGTACCCCAAACAAACAAACAAAAAATAACCAGAATTGATTTCCAATTTTCCAGCATTTATAGACTTGCAGGGAGATTGACATTGAACATGTAGCTATAGACACATGCAGTAGTGTAAGGGTTAGAGAGAAAGGTGCTTGAAGATTATGTGTGGTGCTATTGGTAGTGGTCGTGTTGAGATTCTTAATTGAGTTTGGAGTTTGTGGAGAACCTTTCTAATGAAGAGACATTTGAGTTGATATTTAAGTTTGAACTGCCGTGGGGCAAATATGACAGAGGAGGCAATAAAGATAGAGTTCTGTGTGAGAGAAGTGTGCCCTGTTCAGAGAGCTCAGTGCAGCTCAGAGAGGGAAGAGAAGGGAATATGAAGGAAGACAGGAGAAACCTT